CTCACATTGCCTTATGCCAACGCCGTTGCTTGCTTTGTTAGTCGTTGCTTGTTTACTTGTGCTATATGGGTATAACAACATATCGCACAAGCAGTCGTATGTGTGTATGTATTGGTGCGATTTTAGTTCGTTGTGCTATAGTAGACATCAGTGCCATACGAACGAATATGTGAATGGACAACATGTATGTACAAGCATTTTTTCTTCAGTACAGCAAAGGCAAATGGCAAATATGAAGTTGAGAGATTTTTGGCGGGAAAAAAATTAGTGGTGGAATTCTTTCCAAGGAAAAATATTTTTAAAATGGTGATTATAATTTTTGATAAAAATTAACGAAATTCAAAAATTGTAGAAAATATTAAAATATTTAGTTTTTGCAACGTTAAAGGGGCGATTTACAAATTTTGAAGAAAATTTACGAAATTCAAAAATTAAGCAGAAAATATTAAAATATTTTTACCATTAGGTAATTGCAAATTATAAAAGTTTATGACCTGGATTAAAAAAATAATCCATTTGTGGCGTCATTTTCTGGAATGTCCATAAATAAACAGGCACACTTTTACCTAATACTCTAATTAGCAAATTCTTTTTTTTATCATAAAAATAAAACACATGTGGATTTTCTCATTTATTTAGGTAGTAAAATAATAAAATAATTAGTAAATAGTATGAAATAAATATTTTGTCTCTTTTAAATTTAATTTGTAGCCCTGAAAAGGGCTGTTAGATATTATGTTTTCGAATATCGAAAAAATTCTTGACAAAGTAATTTTTGTGGAAAAAATTACTTCTTGGCGGCGGCTTTCTTGGCAGCTGGCTTCTTTGGTGCTGCGGCTTTTTTGGGCTTAGCAGCGGCTGTTTTTGCCTTGGGTGCCTTTGGTTTGGTGGCAGATGCTTTAGCGGCGGTCTTTGCGGGTTTTGCCTTAACTGTACCGGTTTTCTTGGCAGCCTTGGCCTTTGTTTTGTCAGCCTTCTTCTTTTCAGCGGTCTTTTTGGCGGCAGATGGTTTTTTGGCAGCTGTCTTCTTTTCGCCGGCAGCCTTTTTAGGGGCGACCTTCTTTTTCTTTTCACCAGCGGCGGGAGCCTTCTTTTTCTTTTCAGCAGTCTTTGCTTTAGGTTCCTTGGAAGCCGAAGCGGACAATTTGAATGAACCGGTTTCAGCAACGGCGGCGTCAGACATGTTTATATTTCACTGTTTTTATATTTCACTGTTAACACAAATACACTCACAAATTTATGTGTACTACTATTTTGTTATTGGTCGAGCCGTATAACATAGGTACATCGAAAAGATGAGAAGTGCATAGTAGTCAATTGGTATATTTTTCGAATTATTGTGTGGAAGCGTGTTTAATTTTTTACAAAAGTTTTCACAGAAATTTAATTTTTCCCAGGAAGCTTTAAAAATTGCTGAAAAAGATATTTTACATTTTGAAAGTATAGATTTCAGGCTTCATTTTAAAAGATATTTCATGTTATTATCATTACCGGTTAGCGAGTTATAGACGTTTAACTTCAAAGATTATGAATTTGAAATCACAAATTTCTAACTAAATTTGAAAAAAATCCAAAAAATTTTGAAAATTTTCATAAAATTTCTTTTTGATAATATAGCCTGATATGTTTTCTTTAGGATAAATTAAAAATATTTAGAAATTTTGCATTTTCTATGTGAGAAAAAATTAAATTTATTATGTGGTCTATGACAGCAGAAATCCTCTTGTTGGCATATTTTCAATGAAGAAAACTTTTTCTACAAATAAATTTGAAAGCTCAAATCTTATTAACTTTTATAAAAATTTCTTAAAAAACATTTCAGGATTTGTATATTTACACCAAAATAAAACATTATTCATAAAAAGTCATTAATTGTTTGGAAAAGTTAAAAATTCCTTACAATATCATATACTACCAATGGACGAACATTCATCAACAAACGGCAATTTTTTTCAAAATAAACTATTTTGGCAAAAATAAATTAATTATACTTTAAAAATATTCTAAAATAATTTATTAATCAGTTATTTATTAATTTTCACAATAATTTTGTCAAATTTTTGCAAAAAAAAAAATTATATTAAAAATAATTTCGTTTTTGCTATTACCTTTCATGGCAGAGCAGAGTACAAAGAAATTTCATGGAATTTTTCGAACGTTACAAAAATATTGTATTCCTATTGATTATTAAGTATTTACTATTTTCTATTAATTTTTAGTCAAAATATAAAATTTTAATAATTATTTTACTAAAAAATACTAATTTATAATTTTCTTTAAAAAAATTGGTTTTTGAATAGAGAAATTCTGCCTTTAGAAATCAAAAAATATTTCCCATCAAATTTTTCATAGACAGAGACAAATATAAAATTAGATAGAATTTTTTTTACATGGTAGAAAATTAGCTGGAAAAGAAAAAACATGCACATTTCATTCTTCATTCATGGGGATGTTTGCTGTAAAAAAAAAAAACAAAAATATTGAGGGGAAATTTTTTTCGCGCCAAAAATAACATATTGCATTAATACATAAGAGAATTTTTTTTTTTGGAAGGGGAAAAATGGAGGGAAGCATTTTCCCGCCAATTACGAAAAAGGTGAATAGAAAACAATTAAACAAACAATGTGAAAAAAATTCATCATGTGACAATACAAACGAAAAATTTTAAATAGAAACAAAGAAAAAAAATAAAATAATTTAAATAATAAATCTGAATAATTAAAATTTTAACCAGAATTAAAAAAAAATTATTTCTAACGAAATAAACATTAAAATGAAAAAAAAAAAATTAAATAGAAAATCATTTTACGAAAATGTTGAGAAAATGTATGAAAAATTATTTTTAATGAAAAGAAAAGCGAAAAAAATTTATAATTTCAAATAAAAAAAAATAAATGTTTGGAAAATTTACTAAAAATAAAAAAATAAATTAAAAAAATCCTGTATTCCTATCAGCCTCAAAATAAATTAAAACAACGTAAAAATATTTTTATTAAATAAAAATTGTAATAATAATAAAATAATTTGTTAAAAATTGAATCTCTTTTTTGATATATTTTGTGGTCCTGAAAAGGACCGATTGTTTTGTTGTAAAAAAATGAGTTTTTAAAACGTCAAGAATTTAAGCACGTTCTCCACGAATACGTCTGGCCAATTGGATATCTTTAGGCATGATGGTGACACGCTTAGCATGGATGGCGCACAAGTTAGTATCTTCGAAAAGACCGACCAAGTAGGCTTCACTGGCTTCTTGCAAGGCCATAACAGCAGAGCTCTGGAAACGCAAATCAGTTTTGAAATCTTGAGCAATTTCACGAACCAAACGCTGGAAGGGCAATTTGCGGATCAACAATTCAGTACTCTTCTGGTAACGACGGATTTCACGCAAAGCGACTGTACCGGGACGGAAACGATGAGGCTTCTTAACACCGCCGGTGGCTGGTGCGCTCTTACGAGCGGCTTTAGTGGCCAATTGCTTACGAGGAGCCTTGCCACCAGTCGATTTACGGGCAGTTTGCTTAGTACGAGCCATTTTTCACTTTAATTTTTTTCACTTCACTAGGTATGCACACAAACACTGTTAACACTGTAATAACTCGGAAACCGCGCCAGAAACGAGTATTTATAGAAAAATTTTGTGTTAGCATCAACGATTAAGGGTGAGTGTTCGTAAATACAAATATATGTCTACTAAATGGGCGCACACACGCACACATATACACAAACGACTATGGCACAAGCAACACGAACTAAGTCGAAGTGGTCGACGATCAGGGAAATTTTTGTATAAATAGAACCGTCAGGGTCGCAGTTAAAACATTCGTTCTTGTGCTTTCGTGAAGTGTTAAAGTGAATTAAAAAAAAAGTGAAAAATGACTGGTCGCGGTAAAGGTGGAAAAGGCTTGGGAAAAGGTGGCGCTAAACGTCATCGCAAAGTGTTACGTGATAATATCCAGGGCATTACCAAGCCAGCTATTAGACGTTTGGCTCGTCGTGGTGGTGTAAAACGTATTTCTGGATTGATTTACGAAGAAACTCGTGGTGTTCTGAAAGTGTTTTTGGAAAACGTTATTCGTGATGCTGTCACCTACACCGAACACGCTAAGCGTAAAACCGTCACTGCTATGGATGTCGTCTACGCTTTGAAGAGACAAGGTCGTACTTTGTACGGTTTCGGCGGTTAAATATTTTCTTGACGCTATTTGGAGAAATCTTCTTATTTTACAACAAACCAATCGGTCCTTTTCAGGACCACAAAAAATATTAAAAAAGAGATACTTTCTTGTTGAAAATTAATTATTATTATTATTTTTTTTTTAAATAAATATACTAATAAAAATTATAACTACATATATTAAATGTTTAAAAAATTTCCATTACCTTTTCCGATTTTTCAAATATTTTAAATAAATTTTAATTTTCTTCTAATAGTATTATCCATTTCATACCACATTTCTTTCCAAAATCATATTTTTTTTCTTTCAATTATTTCCACATACCAATGCCTGTTAAAATGCCGTCGGCAATACGCATTACTAAATGCCTTTGGTTACTCATATAATGTGTGTATACCATAACTACACATACCCTATACATGTATTAGTACATACGTACGTTAAAGAACAACAAGCAATGCCATGACTATTCACATCAGTGTTTTAAATTTCAAAAATAAAAAAAAATCAATACGTTCTCATTTCAAGAAAATTCATTACAAAAATAAAATTATTTTTAATAAATTGTACAATTCGAAAAAATTTTTTTTTTTTATTTTTATTTTATTTATTTTTTTTTTTATTCAATTAAATAAAATTGACTTCATCATTTTCATTACAATCTTATTTAATTTCGCTAAATTTCTATCAAAAAACAAAAAAATTCTTCCTTCGAACATATTTCCATATAAAAATGCCGCCGTCAACTCGCATTTCTAAATGCCGTTGCTTGTTTGTTCATATGCTTGCTTATATTATGTATGTATACCATAGCGTCACTTTATCTAAGCATGTGGTAGTATTTTGTTAGTCCATGATACTAAACAACGAACCAACGAACGATCAAACAACGATGTGAGTACGATGTAGTGAGTGAAACATTACAAAAATAATAATTTCAATTAAAAAATAAAATAAATAAATAAATTTAAAAAATTAAATTAAAAAATTAAAATTAAATTAAAATATTAAAATTAAATTAAAATATTAAAATTAAATTAAAAAATTTAAATTAAATTAAAAATTAAAATTTAAATTAAATTAAAAAATTGAAATTAAATTAAAAAATTAAATTTCCAATTTAATAACGTTATAATTTTTTCTAAACAAATTTAAATTTATTTTCCAAAAAATCCAAAATAATATTTTCATTTTTCTGTTAAAATATCAAATTTTATTCAACATTTTTTCCATTCATTTCATTTTATTTTTCAAAAAAATAATAATAAAATAGCTTCTCATTTTCTAAAATTTTTCCAAAAATTTTCATTAAAAGACCATATAAATTTCATTTTTATTTAATATTTTTGATTTTAATATTTTCTAATTTTATTGAAATATTCCTATTAAATTCATTTTTCAATTCCATTTTTTCTTCAAACTTCTACCAATTTCATTTTTATTTTCGTAATAATTTTTTCTAAACAAATTTAAATTTATTTTTCAAAAAAAAATGTTTTCATTTTTCTTCTAAAATGTAAATTATGGTTCAAAATTATTTAATTTGTAATTTATTTCATTTTATTTTTCAAAAAAAAAATAATAAAATCGCTTTTCATCTTCTAAAAATTTTCATTAAATGTCCCTATAAATTTCATATTTTTTCATTTTAATTTATTATTTTTAATTTTAATATTTTATTTTAACTTCTCTAATTTTATTAAAATATTTCTATTTAATTTATTTTTCAATTTCATTTTTTTCTTCAAACTCCTAAAAATTTTCATTTTATTTTCGTCATCCCTTCATTTTATTTCAACTACAAAGGCCTGCAACGCAAAAAAAAACTCTTTCAATTCTCCTCTTTTTTGCCTTCCCAAAATAAAAAGCGTGAGGCGACTTCTTACAATAGAATTACTATGTGTGTGCGTGCGTGTGTGTTTTTGTGTTTGGTGGTTATTTTTTGTGAGTCATACAAGCCAGCTGTACTACTGATCAACAGGAATAACTGTATTCTTCTTCTTCTTCTTCGTTTTAAATTGCCCCTTGCAAAAACAACATAACACAAGCATGCTTCTTCTTCTTCAAAATACCTCGAATTATAACGGCAAACAACAACAAATTTTAAGCAAACTCAAATGTGACTACAATAAATGTATTTCGTCTCATAAAAGACAAATGTAATGCTGTAAGGAGAAAAATTTATATTTTTTGGAATTTTTTTTTTATTTTTAATAAATTTAACTAATAAAATAAATATGGTTTGAATTGATTTTTTCTCTTTTTAAATATTTTTTGTCGTCCTGAAAAGGACGGATTGGTTGATTTTGTATGGATTTTTTGTTATTATACGATGGTCTGTATTCATTCCATAATACCTTTCGCAATAATTTAGGCTTTCTTTTCGGTCTTCTTGGGCAAGAGAACCGGGGAATGATACGAGTCTTCTTGTTGTCACGAGCAGCATTACCAGCCAATTCCAAAACTTCAGCAGCCAAATATTCCATAACGGCGGCTAAATATACTGGAGCACCGGCACCAACACGTTCAGCATAGTTGCCTTTACGCAACAAACGATGAATACGACCGAAATTGAAGACCAGCACGATTGGAACGGGACTTTGCCTTTCCCTTAAAACCACGACCAGACATTTTCACTTTATTTTATTTTTAAACACTTCACTTAGCACTGAAAAACACAGAATGATAAAAATTGCCTTTTTTTTTTTTTTTTTTTACATAGTAAACTTAACTCTAGATTATAAAATTATATTTTCCTAACAGAATACATCTTTTTCTAGGAATATTAATATTATATTATTAGTAAAAGGTAGGCCAGCCCTTTTTGCCCATTGTAAATTATTTTTTGACTATGTCAATCATTTTATTTGAAATTAACAAGAAAATTGGTATAAAAACTTGCTATTAAATTTTTTTTTTTTTTTTATTACTATCTAAAACTTAAAAACTACTTAACACTAAAAAATAAAAAACTAAACAAAATAAAATAAATAATAATTCAATATTCTTAAAACTACTACAACTACTTCTATTTACAATATTTACAGTGTGCCCATATCCAAACGTCTGTGTCTGTATATATAAACGCATATATACACACACACACATTCGCATATGCGCATAAGATGTTTGTACAAATTTACATTTTAATATTGTTCTGTGTTATACACTAGGTCATTGATATTGTATGTGCCGTATTTTCTATTATAGAATACAATTTTGTCATTACTATTAAAAAGCATGTTATTTTTATTTAAGTTTAATAAGCACATAGGTGACAAATATCCATCATTTGCTATGATATTATTAAATTTTTCTTCGCTTATAATATAACTATGCGAATTATTATTGCAATTAATATATTTTTCGAGATGTTTAATAGCTGTTTTTGTCATGAATTTGTCTACCCTTATTAGATTACTAGCTTCATACAGCCGACGACATGACGGTGTAATGAAATTACCATCTGGCATTAATTTCGATCTCATATTGAGACAATATCTTAGCATATTTCTTTCAAAAACCCTGATTTTTTCCATTTGTCTAGAAGAAATACCAAACCAAATAGGAAAACCGTATGTTATTGCAGGTCTAATTAACTGTTTATATAGACACATTTTTATTTTGGCGCTAAGTCCGCTTTTCCTATTTATAACTCTAATTACGTTTTGGTATGCATTCTTTGCTTTTCTAAGAACGTATTCTACGTGTTTATTGAATTTGAAATCTTCATCAAATATAATTCCTAGATATTTGAGATCTTTGACATTTTCTAGAATGTATCCATTTATTTTAATTGCTGGTAGAAAACTACGACCATTTTTATAAAGTCTAGTTTTCTTACCCCTTATAATAATTGATTTGCATTTGCTTTCATTTAATTTAAGCTTCCATTTTTCAAAGTAGACAGTTAATTCCTCAAGATAATTATTTATCAGATTGTTGGCAATTTTAGCTCTAGGGTGGGATGAGGCTATAAGAATATCGTCCGCAAAAGCTATTAATAATTGGTCATTTTGAGGCTGTGGAATGTCAGCAATATAAATATTATAAAGGGTTGGACCAAGCACCGAACCTTGAGGTACTCCTGCTTTTATATTTCTCCGGGTCGAATTACTATTTTCGATATTAACTGAAAATGTCCTATCACTTAGGTAATTATGTATTAATCGAACCATTGGATTTTCAAATTTAAAAATATTTTCCATCTTTGTTATAAGGCCTTGATGCCAGACATTATCAAACGCTTTTTCAAAGTCTAGACTAACAGCAATGGTTGCACTTCTATTATTTAGTCCATTGACCACTTTGCTCGATAGTGCTAAAAGAGCATGTGTAGTTGATAAACCTTCCCTAAACCCAAATTGGAACTCTTTCAGTATATTGTTGTTTAGAATGTGTTCATTTAATATTTTCAATATAAATATCTCTA